AATTCTTACAGTAGAAACAGTTTGTTTTTAAAATAATCATCATTCATCAGCAGATTACAATGCAGGCATAAAATCTCAGATTCTATAAAAGGCTAGAGGAATGAGGAACTGTAAAACAAGCATAATTATGACTACTGCAAAAGCTAAAATGGTGCAAGCACTACAATTTACAAAAAAAAATAAAAATAAAGTGAGACTTCATTGCACAATGGAGAAGACATTTTATGATCTGAAAGTGTGAGCAAACATTTTAAAAAGAACATTTCTACATGCTGATATGGATGCCAGTGACTGCTAATGTCTGTTGGCTCCAGAAAAACTCCAAGTTGCGAGAGGATGTGCTGCAGCTTGTGGGCGCTTGTGACTCACTCCCCTTCCTCCCACATGACAGCACTGCTGCTTGGGGATTGGCTATTCAGGTATCCTGCCATGTCACAAAAGGCCGGGGAGAGAGTTCTCCTCTATGCGTAAGCTATGACTAGGATTTTCTTGAGTTTTAAAAAGGACATCGTCATCCCGTTCCTGCTGGCTGGTGAGTAAAGGTGAATTATAAGCTGCTTTGGTGGTGGTGGTGGTGATGGCTGGCTTTATATTGATCCTAATTTGCCCTGCACAAGTTGACTTCAAAGTGGAACAGAAATATTAATCTCCCCCCACCACCAATCTTTAGCATCCCATAACATGGAAAAGTAAAAAGAAAATAGTACAGAATACATAATTCTCCTGACCTTGGCCTTACTATGGACTTGCAGTTTTGAAAACCTTGTAAGGTGGTTCATGTGCAAAAGGCTATAACAGGAAGGACAGTAAGTCTGGCCTTTCCCATTTCAATCTATAGAGCCAAGCAGCATGCGCCCAAACTGCTAAAGTCAGAACAATAAGAAGCAAGAGGAGCCAGTAGAAAACAATCTGATATTATTCAGAACAATGCCTAAACAAAGCCACATTAATAGAAAAAAATCCAATCTAAATTCTGTGCTGAATCTTTCATGGCATCATCAGTAAGGCCATGCCACAAGAATGTATATAGAGGGTATAGGGCTTTAATAAAATGCAGCATGTTAAATCAATTATGTCAGTGATAGCACTAGTTTATCATTCCTCATATTTGTTAGTATTTCCTTTTTAACCAGCTTGCCTTCAATTTTAGAGTGCAAACTTGTTGAATTCAATGTAGGTGTCTTTCGTTTTATAACTCGATGACTTAAGAGCCACCATGACCTTGACATGATGCATTAAGACATCCATTAAAATTGTTGAGTCTATTGCGTATGTCAGTTACTTTTATCTTTGAGTAGCATATTCAAAGAAAATAATGTGACACAAGATAGGTTCAGGTAGTTCTGTTGTAGTTCTGTTGGTAAAGTTTCCAGGTTGGAAACAAACATTTTTAACAGGCAATTTGCTTTAAAGTTGCTTGGGAGTACTACAAAATTAGTAGCTATCCAGCCAAATGATCTTAATTTGTTTTAGATACAGAGGTAAGGATCAGAACCTCTATCTTGTTTATACTACTGTCTATGCCTCACTGGGGAGGAATATCCAGCCCTGTCCTAGTGGCAAAGGCTAGTTTGAAAAGAACTGAAAGGGAAATCTCTTTAAGGCTAGGTTCACACCTAGGCGATTTATCGCACGGTTTGAGTCGCGCGATATCGCGTAAAACACAGATTTGCATTGAAGTCAATGGAGGCTGTTCACACCTTTGCGGTTTGCGTATGAAATCGCCTGTCGTGTGAAAAGGCGCAGGAGCTATTTTTGGGCGGTTGTCGCGTGGTTTGGGACATCTCTATGCATTGAAAACCGCGCAACAGCTACGCAGTTTCCGATGAACAGTTGGGTGATCGAAAACGCGCAACAGTCGCACGAAAACAGCTCACCATCTGAATCGCCTGGGTGTGAACCTAGCCTCACTGCAACAGACTTTTTTCGTTCTTGCCCGTATCCCCTTTGCTGACATTTTCTCTCACTTTCTGTCCTAGTAAGGAAGTGAGGGAAAATGTTCCCAGTGGGGCCCAAGACAGCAAGACCTCACTTGTGAGAGGACCTAGAATTGTGCTTACCATGAGCCAACCCGAGTCTGCCATCTTGGGTAGCCTGTTGGAACATTCCAGGCAAAAAGCTGTTTTGTACAATGGAGAATAGGTAAGCTTTTCTGATTTATAATAAGAGTCCATCAACCTCAGGTTGTATGTCTTCCAATACATGGGGATTCTACAAGTACAGATACATGCATCAAGTGTTATATGACAATCATTAAAACCCTGACAGGTTCTATCCCTTTTGCACTCTATCCAAAAATGTAAAACATAAGCAAAATAGTCTCACGTAAACTTAAAAACAAGAAAAATCATGGCACGAGATAATTGATGATCTCACTAATTTAGAAGGCGAGCGTCACAGCTTGAGAACTGCTGCATTAAATGACTATACCACATGCTCAGATATTAGCAGGTATAAAGCAATATTACTTGGCTGGTTTATCATACATTTCATTGCACACTACGATGCCTCACCTCAAATATTCATTAGCCATGCCAGAAAAAAAAAATCCACATTTTGCATTTCACATGATTAAAATGATTGCCCTGCTACACATTTTAGCTATGGCTCTTCATTTAAACAAACTCAAGGTTCTAACAGGTAGCCTTTCATCTTGTCCTCCATTGCCTACTGATTACAGCTCTCTAAACCACAGCAAGGGGTAAATGACTGACTCCTTAGTTCCACTAGAATACTAATTTACAAACTGTTTTCTTTTGGAACACCGCCCTTATGAAGAAGCGTTATTGCACTCTTGAGAGGCCACTTGTGTGAGGACCTAGAACTGTGCTTACTATGAGGTAATCTGAGGTTGCCATCTTGGGTAGCATGTTATTAGTGGTTACAAAATGGAGGTTTCCAAGCAATTATCTGATTTATAAGAAGTACAATAAGTTAAGCTGTTCTCATTAGCATTAGGCTCCAGCAACTTAATGTAATCAAGTTTTCTGTAACTTTCAATATATGTGGATCCTGCAGGCGCATAAACGTGAATTACATTTGTTAAAAGATTGTATTCAATTCAATGCTACTGCACAGCTCTTGGCTAACACTGTGGGGCTACATCCATAAAAACAAATGAAATTTCAGGTGATGGTTCAGTACTGTGATGAAGCATTACTAACGCAAAGCCCTACCACTTTCCAACTGGTGTAATGGCTGGTGTAACGTAAAAGCATTCATTTAGAAAGACGTTGTACATATTCAGTGGAAGAATGGGCAAAAAACATGCACAAGTGTTTATGTAGAGAGAGTGATTCTTTACCTGACCATGTAGAGATAGCTATACATGTTGTAAACATAATTACCTATAAGGCTTATGCCATTAAGGCCTCTACAAAGCACCCACAAAATGGATGGCATTTATTATGGGATAGCACACTTGATGTACAGTGAGTTATGATTACTGCAAAGCTAATAAATGGGATTCCACCTCACATGATTACTGCAACTCATTTGTAAGCAACCTTTCCAGCCAATGGCGTAACATTCCCAAACCGAACTGATAATTACTAAATAGTAAAGTTGGCACCTGGCCTGTTCAAATGGCCTTGATACAAGTATTATCAGTACAAACCAAAAGAGATAGAATGGGAGAAAGAGTTCCTAAAAGTTCTCAGGATCTCACGGAAGGATCTTGCGTCACCCTCTCCAGTATGGAAGCCGAAGTAAGGGAAGTATATTTTTTATTACGGATTAATGTTGTGATTTTGGATCGAGGAGGGGCACGATGTAGAAAGCAGAGCTGGCATTTTAGTATAGGTACACTTTAACGCAGTTATGGGCTCAATGTATTACATTATAAAAAATGCAGTGTTGTAACATAGGGTATCGGCCTCTTGTAATTCCCTGTATAGCCACACTTACACTGGAAAAGGAAGGGGGCAATCCTTAGGGCCACTCAGGATTGCTGCATGCAAAAATGCTGGTAAGGAAAATTCTGACAGGAGAAGATAGCAAAGCCCCAGGCGCCATCTCTTTGGGCCAAGTTGGGGGTGGCAGGCAGAGCAACTTGGCTGCTCTGCTGCACAATGTTTGCAGTGTTCCTGACACCCCCTTTTCAGCCAGAGCCTCCCAGGTTAATAGGAGCCAGACGGGGAAATGTGTAAAGGCAATACCGGGGTACTGCCGAGCTCCTGGCAACCAGTGACACCACTGGTTACGAGGAGCTTGGCGGGATTCCAGCCAGAGTGTCCCAGGTTGCTAAAAGCTGGACTCGGAGATGCACTCTCCACCATCACCCTCCCTCCCACTGATTGTGCACCATCTAGCAACCCCAGCAAAAAGACTAGAGACACCCCTGGGAGGGGGGAGCTAAAAGACTCTTTAAAGAGTCACTTTAAAGTTTTCTTTAAATCAGCCCCAATGTTATTTAGCAGTATTTTTAAGAAACACGACTTATAAAATGTATGTTGGAAAACATGAATACAATATATACTTATAAATTCACAAGTTACCCTGTTCAGTTCAAGGCATACATCACGGATACAATTAAAACAGGGATTTTCCAATGCTAAAATGAGAAAAAAAAAGTTACTTAATGAAAAAGTAAAGTAATGGCTGTTTATATAAAGTGCAAGAGTGCCGACTAGGACTGCAATGTCCGACAATTAATGTAGTGCCAAACTGCAATTTGAAAGGCTCACTTCCCTTGTAGCAAAATGCAGTTTTGTGTCTTCCCGGGAGCTACATATGCTTGGGTTTTTCAATAAAATTCAAAAATAAATACACAAACTGAATAAAATCCGCAGTTAAATTAAGTAAAAGGCAGCTGGAGCATGGGGCTAGCATTGTTGAGAAGTTTGGCGGATGATTTGCAGGCAAAAATACAATAAAAAGAGTAAGCAGGATGATTGAAGCCAAGTTCAAAAAGCACACGAAAAAATAACTAGGAATTCCTTATAAACATATATAATTGGGGCAAAATCAGGAAAATGGTCTAGCTAAATTAAGAAGCCACTGAATCAATACATTCCATTATCTAAGGGCACTGAGCCAAAGGTTTAGGTGTAGTACATTTGCGGTGACCATTAAGGTTCCAGTGAAGACACATTGTTCTTGTGCTAGGGATAGCTTGACTCCATGCATTGAAGAGTCAATCAAAGCAGCAATGTTAAATGAGCAGAGTTAATCCCTTATGGACGGACAGTGCAGAACTTTTAAATCCTGTGCTTTGTGTCTCCTTAAATTATACTCATTATGGTGTAGAAGCCTTGATGAGCCTAGGAGGGACTCTGGAGGAAGACTGACAAAATGTGCTTCAGATGGAAAAGCCTCTCCTTTAATGAAGTCATGGAAAGAATTAGCATCTGATATGCCGGATCCAAAGGCAAGACGGACAAGAGCCACCAACACCAGAATGGACCATCTGGAGACGCCTGTGAAAGACATAAACACAAATTATAGAACTACTTCAATAAAGGCAACATAGACTATTGCTGCAAATCCTAAAAGTTTTAAAATAAAGAAGTCACTAACAAGTCACAATCAGTACTTTTCACCAACAAAACAGTACGGTGCATCTGCAGGGGATTGGAGAAAAAAGGTTTGTCTACCATACATCTCTCCGATAGGAACAGAGACTGTAATAAAACTTTACAGCTGAAGTTTAATCTTCTTATATGTTGCTTTCCCTGGTTCTCATTAATTCAGGTCATGGCATATCTGTAAAAAAGTGCCATACGCTGACATCTATTGTCTGCCACATACAATGCTGATTTAACACCATTCTCTGGGCAGGTTAAATAACACCTCCCAGACTCCCATTATGCAAATGCAATCAACACCTGGTTGCGACTAACAGATTATGTGGATTGGAGAAACATTCACCATATTTATTCCCAGAGTTTTTTTTGTACAAGTCATTCTGAAAGCTGGTTGGATGACCAGTGAAACGTCTTCAAGAAAAATACAGCAAGTCCAGTTGCCTTGACTTATTTTTCACAGATATTCTTAAATATATTTTCTTTTCAGGTCGAATGAATGTAATGTAATACTGCATTTTGGATACTAGATGGCATAAATACATATTTCCTATGTGCCTCAGCTTGAACTAGTGTGTGTCTATTTGCACAGAATAAAATAAGTATTTATTCCCTATACTCCTCACCTTCATCCTGTTTGACCTGAGAAGAAAATATATTTAAGAACATTGGCTTTTGCGTCTATTCGCACAGAACAAAAGTTTAACAGGATTTGTAGGGCGAATGGCTCTGCAAATTGGTTATAAATAGACCCCTAAATGTCCCTCTCCACATGCATACATGTATTTCTTTCCCCCAAAAAAAACCCATAACTGTTGCCTTGACTTCCAAAAGCCTGCCCACACACTTTCAATCGAAACTGACCTGGGGCACCCTCCGATCTCTGCTCCCGGCAGCTGCCCCTGCAAAAAGTGGTTGACACCACAGGAGTGAATGCAGCTGTTTCTCACAAAAGGAAAACAATTATGCTGAGACATGCTCTGAAGTGGAAGAGTGGGGTTTGGGTTAAATTTAAGTTATGCCTTTACAAATCTTTGATTAAGGTTATTACAGCCACTGTTTTGGTTTAACGTGCCCCTTACCCCTGCCCTCGAATGACAGCTACATTCTCCTTGTTGGTCTACATCTCTATAATCTGAGACCTGAGCAGGTACAACCTTCTCTATTACTACCTACATTAACAAGGTCAGCGGTATTTTCCCCATTGGATCATGTGCTTGTCTTGTTTTTCTGTTCTTACAACACATATGTAATCGTGTGTCCTTACAACAGAATAGCATACCTTGCTCGGCTCATATTCTAATTTTGCATGCCGATTCTTTGCTGCCAGGTTATTAAAGGAAAATAAAACAGAGGTGCTAAAACAGTAACATATGATCTCCTATTTGGATAGACGTGTCCCCTTGGAGTCTTTAACTATGCTATTTTGGTTTTGAGAACATTTTCCAGTCATTTGCTTGCAAGCACCTGGCGGCTTTTAATGGACAGGAGCATCAATCTCGCTTTCAAGAGCCGACAATGTGGGCAAGGATAAGCACTGCAGGGTGCATGTAGTGGGGACAGATCTCCACGCTGCGATGAATCCACTAACAGATGCCATTAACCCCTGCATAGCTGGAGACAAACTTAAAGCTCAACTTCACCTTTACAACACATTTGCAACACATTTATACCTATAGCATTCCTGCCTTGTGTTAATTGGCTTAAAAGTACATTTAATACACAATACACATTCGGGAGCTGTCTTGGAACTGGAAAAGGATTTGTATTTCTGTCCATCCAGTCCTTGGAGATATATATATATAGAT